TATATATTTTAACACCTTTAAAAGTATTTATAAGGTAGTGTAATAAAAAAATTGTATATATAAATGTTATAACTAATTACTTGATGCTTTTAGTATTTCAAAGAAAAGAAATGCGCAGCACACAAACAAACCATCGTATGTATTAACCCTGAACACTATTTACGTAATATTACTAAATACATACATTTTATGTACAAATAAACAAGATCATTGAGTATCAAGCTGTGGCCTTTTGTGGTTATTAGAATGTCCAATCTGCTAAATATGGAAACAAGTTTTTAAAAATTCTGTCCGTTTTTTACATATGTATAAAATTTTATACATATGTATATGAATTTGGACTCTCTGGTGATCCCGGTATTTCAAGAAAAAAAAAATGCGCACGAAATGTCCTATTGTATCCATCAAAGCTTGAATTTTTCGTAACCAAAGGCAACTCTCAAAAGCGAATTTCTCGCTGAAAAATTCAATTCGGAGAATGTCAATGTCGACCGACATAAATAATAAATATCTACATCTGTCGCGTTGAACATCGACAAAGACCAAGCTTTCCGTCGATCATCGCACCTTGTAAAACTCCTTCGTTTGTCCTTGGCGAATTAGAACATTCGTTCGCTCGGCGCGTAATTTAGCACTCGCTCGTCACGGCTCGACGCGACGTTCCCTTTTCGTTCTGGTATTTCGTGTCCCACGCGGTGTGGCGCGGCGACAACACCCTGAGGTCTTCGCGTTCCCAAGAATGCAATCTCCCCTCCCCCGTCCTACACCCGGTATACTTGAACCTGAAACTCCTGAAAGTCCCACGGAGCGAGAGCGCGTTTCCTTCGCCGCCGCCGATGCGACGTCCGCCGAGGACGTAAGCACCGACCCTTTTATTCGCCCCAATAGAATTTCTCACGCCAGAAATAGTGGTGCTCGCGTGGGCGGGACGTGCACGTGCTGCGCGACACAAACTTAGAGCGCGTCATCATATTTATACCCTAGGCACGATCAATCGTTCTTTCACAAGCCGCCGTTACGTTATAAGATGCCTGCAGTTCGACGTCACGCTACTCGCCCTCGCGGCGAACTGAACGTAGACTAAGAAGGTCCGCTGTTCTCTTTCAAATGTCAGCGATAATCTATCTCTCTCCGGATACTCCTTGCGATCCGTCGAAAATTTCAATAAATAAACAAGATAAGGAGGGGGATTCGAAATTGACAATGATAAGACAGACAGATGATTACAAGAAGGTTATGGAAGGCGTACAAAGTCTGTACAAATAACGTAGATAGATATTTAATTTAAAAAAACGAAAAAAAGAATTTACAAAAATGTAAATATTTGTAGATGAATAAATTATCATTGTTAATTCAAATTTACATATGAGTAAAAGACACCTAAGGAGCTTACATCACGTTGAAAAGTCAGAAATTATTTATTTCTATGTTAAATAAAATTTCTATATTTAAACTCGTTTTCTTTAACGAATAAGATTTGCCTTGACAGAAAAGTGACACAAGTAAAAAATTAGTATTTTTTAAATCAATTTAAAAAGAATGAAATATAATTATAAGATATAGTTTTGTGGAAAAAACGACACATTTGTAATTCATTTGCTTATATAGAAAAGAAATTGTCACAATTCTGATAGAGGATAAAATTTATATCAGGAATTTCATTATGTTCAAAATATTGCAAGAAAGAATTCTTTACGGTTCGATAATTTGTTGTAATAATTGAAAAGAACAGATTGGATTGGAAAGAAATATATCGACAAAAGTAATTTTATACTTTGCAAATATTTAAGTAATAATGGCAGAATAATAATCTTTAATTAAGTGCAATTTATATGTGATATAAAAGAATAAATAGCAGAGTCAAGCGATTGCAAATAAAAAGTGATGCCCTAAATATTGATATAATATTATTAGAATTGGTATGTTTGTATTTTAAAAGGCAATATAGTTTTAAAAAATACATTATATTTAAAAGTATTACGTGAAAAGAAATTGAAGTTTTAGAAATTACATATTCACTATCTCAATTAATTTTTTATTGGTATTGTTTAGATCAAATGTCACATATCAAAACGTTTTTTGTTTTACTGCAATTAGATATTTAAAATTAATTTAAACTGTATTATTTTTTTTTTTGACTTGTGTTCAAGCAAAATATTATGTTGTAAAAAATTAAATAATAATATGAAACATCTTCCTCTGCAGTTTATTTATAGAAAATAAGCTGCAGTTTATTTATAAAAAAATACACATTTAAGCAAAGGTCATATTCAGTTAAAGAAAAAATTATTTGCTTAAAAAATTCACTAAAAAATGTTATTAGGATCAACATTCGCTTTTTGACTGAATAGTCTTTTTTGCTTATATATGTATTTTTGCATCTACAAATAAACAAAGGAAAAGTTTTATATTATCATTTACTTTTTTTTTCATCTATTTTGATTACATGTAAAATTAACAAAACAGAGCATCGGTCAAATCCGATCCTCTCTTATCAGTTCTGAAAAAAAATCTTATCGTTATAGGGTTGAAACATTATTTCAATTTAGAATTTTTAAAAAATGTTCTACTAAAAACATAGTTATTTTTGAAAGATGTCATTTTTCTATCAGCATAGCAATTTGCTTTAGCTTGATTAGATAAACTCCCAATGTCGAAAATAGTCGCAAAAAAAATACAGTCTGACGTCCAGAGTAAAGAGACAATCGCAATGTCATCTAGGAACAATCACGAAGAATAAAAGGAATGGAAGAGATATGTGTATTTGGAACATAATCAGTTCTCGCGAGAGAGAGCGAGTTATATATGCATGCATATACGCGCTCGAAAGGAGTAGAGTAGCCGCGTCGAGATTCGAGAAAGGAGAACCTAACGGCCGGCGAAGTGGCCGCAGTGAGAAAAGAGAGAGAGAGAGAGAGAGAGTCTGAGAGATCAGAAAGGGAGGGATGGAGCGGCGAGCGCGTGACAGGACACGTGATCAGGAGCACACGGTGCTCGCGTGACCGGCCCCGTGACGTCACACGCACGTGTCGCATAGCGTGGTAACCGCCGCACGTTCCCCACTCTCCGCTGGCCGTCCCTCACTTTACCTTCCTTACATCCCTTCCTTCCTCCTTCGCTACCACCCCTCCCACCCTCTCTCTCTCTCTCTCTCTCTCTCTCTCTCTTCCCTCTCCCAGTCATTCCAACAAAACGCGAGAATTGTGCTCGTGTCTTGGTCAGTAGCGTCGCGAGTCCCCACTTCGCCCCTTCTCAATAGCGCGGACTTTCACCTGGAAAGCTGATATTTTTCTTTCTCTTTTTCTTTTTTCTCTCCTTGTTTTTTTTTTCGCACGCGAACTGCACCTTACGTCGTCCGATGTATTTGCATCATCGGTCGGCGGTTACGAGACGCGACGATGCCTGGCAGTTAAGGCTCGATAGTCCACTTGAAAGTCGCTTGCATGTTACTTAGAAGTAGTACGTAACATGCATTTCGCTATTTATACCTGTCAATCGTCGATATAATTTTTCTTCTCGCGGACTAAATATTCCTTCGAGATATTTGCGGGGCGCGTTCAAATCTGGTTTATCCGATTTTAAAATCAACATTCTTTCACGTAAAGTATTTGATTTCTCCCGTATTCTGCAAAAAATTGAATTTTGTAATCGAATTTTGTAACAGATTTTTCATTTTTCTTCTTTAGGAAAGCAAATATTGATATTGCGCTATTTTCTGTTATACTCTGATATTACATCTCTTTTGAGTATTCTTTGTTTGTAGATGTTCAATGATGAAATTTATGATTTCAAATCACCGATCCATAACGAGATTGATTTCAATGTCATCAGATATTACAAAACATGTTGCATCGATATCATGCGAGATTAAATGAGAAACGTAGATTTAGAAGTGTTATTAGCATGAAAAAAATGTTATTTCTTCGTTAATTTCTTATTATTTGGAACGATGCATCTACTGGAGCCACTCAATCAGAAATGTTAAAAAATTTATTTTTTTGTGTCATATTTAATATAGATTTTTTTTTTAATTTACTTAGCATTCATTTTTTTTCATGTAAGTTATTTCTTGAAATTAATTAGTGCCTTTTAATTAAGATAAATTAAATGGATCTTATAAACTTAGTATTACATGAAAGAACGGTTTTTTTGCTGAAGTATCTAAAAATTTAGGAATAAATTTGACAAGAATTTTATTAACAAGAGTATCAAAATAATTATGTAAAACTCTTAAATTAAGCTGGAATATAAAAATTTTTTTGTAACACGTGTTCATTATGCTTCAGTTTTTCTACATCATTATTTTGATAGTTAACAACAATATTTTTATCTCACTAAATTTTTAGATATTTCAGCAAAATCATTCTTTCCGTGTAAATGTATTATAGATTTTAACGTCAGTTCTGGAGGGTTAAATATATGCAATTAATTTGTATACAAAAGAGAAAGATATTAACTTTCTCTTTTTCTCTGTGCATTAACTGTTAATATATATTAATTTGATTGCAAATTATTAATAAAATTGCATAATGTAATTACATTATATATGAGACATTGAACAATTATTAAATAATAAATTCATAATATAATGTAAAATTAATACAAATATTTCTGTTGAGAATTGAGAAGCTCATAATAACTTGGCTTACTTTTTGGCGCGCATAGAATTCTTTTCATAAACAGCAACAGTGAAAAATTTTGCGTAATCATTAATCTTCGCAATAGAAGAGTACCTGCCATGTTCTTCGTAGATGTACTTGAAAGATAAATCCAATGCGAATTTCGCGCCTCGCTCGTGTACTTAATAACGAATGTTACAGCGATGAGTAATGATATCGTGATACACGTACTCCGGCAATTAACGATCAGCAATGGAAACGTATTTAAAGGAGATTCTACGAAAACAACTCTCTCGCCCAGAAAAAGATATTATTTCTAACACAGAACTTTAAAATAACTAATTTTTTTTAAAGTTTAATCAGCAATTCATGAGGCTTCGATCATTAGTATATCTTGTGTTAAAATAGATATTATTATACATATTCATACTTCGATCTGAAGCATTCTATATTAAAATAATTTGATAATATTTCGTGATATCAAATTTATTGCGCTTTTATTGGCAGAATCAGATTGATCGCTGGATTGAAGAAATTCATAGGAAACAGCTAAAAACGAGAATGTTTTTCTTTTCTCATTCATTACTGTACATTCAGCAAAAAAGCAGCTTTGCAACTATTGTAAGATTCTTTAACATAATTAGTACTTGCTTTTAGTTCACTTTTTTAGATCTAATTGTTTAAACCAATATTAAAGAAATTGAAGAAACTAACAAAAAACTAGTAAATTTTTTATAGACTCCTTTAATTGAAACAATTTAGAAAAATGCAATTTTTCCAATCGCGATAAATCTGCGAATTATCTGTATATCACAAATAAATTTGTTGATAGTTTCGCAAAACACGACTCGGTGATGATCGTATCTAAGCATCCGCATGAAGATTTCTGTTGACAATGAGATTTCGGCGCGAGACTATAGCTATCGTGAGAACGATAACTATTGCGATGTGATGCGATACTGCAGCGCGTTTCTTGATGTTTATTTTTATTTTCGTGGTTGCGCATGTGTGCTTGCATCGTCGAAACTATTTTCAGATATCGTATCGTACAATTATCGCAACACGTGATGTGTCAAGAACGTTCCGACCTTATCGTGGTCCCACGAGCGCGCCGTCATTCATCGTATATTCATATGCCGATGAGTAATACTGTTCGTATCTATCATATAATAATTTGTCGGTATTGTTCTACATAAGGTGTAACATTCTATTAATTTTTTCCCGGCGCTAGAATATAGTCTGAAATTATATATAATTATTATGAGAACGAAGGAAGGAGAGTCAACAGATCTTTCTTTCATCAGTTATTGTATTTTACAGCGAGCAATAAATAATGGTTATAAATGTGGAAGATAGCTATAAGATATTATTTTTGTCATTCAGGCTTGTGGTAATATAAAATAATATTATATTATTTTTTTCTGATGTCGGAATAGTTTAAAATCTGCATACAGAATTACTTATCAGAAAGAGAGGGGGGGGGAGGAGAGGAGAGGAGAGGAGAGGAGAGGAGAGAGAGAGAGAGAGAGAGAGAGAATGTATCAAGATCTTCTTTTTTCACCAAGTATTGTATTTCACAACAAATAATATAGTTATGAAGATAACGATGAAAACTATTATCTTTTTGTCTAGATTTTTATAAAGTTCGTCAATATTTGATACTGTTTAAGAATTCTTTTATGAGTACTTATCTACTTATCCAGAGATACTTATTCAGGGATTAGTTTGACTAATAATAATAGATTTCTTTTAAAAAAACAAATTGCTCTGATTTCCATTGGCGCAGACAATTTAAAAAATTATTTTATTGATGCTAACTTCGCGAAGAAATATATTTTGCTTGTATCAATTATATTAAATTTCGTCAATAAAATTAATATCAGATTTCTTTAGTATTGATAAGTGTTATCTTTATTTTTTTGAAGATGTAAGAATTTTTTCAGAGTATGACTAATTAAAGATTTTTATTTAATTAAAGAAATTCTCAGTATCGTCCTTGATGCCAAGAATTAAATAATAACGATGTAATTATTTTATGCATTCAGATTTAAATATCAATTTACACAATTAATTTCTTTTACGAATTCGTGAATAAATACAAAGTTTAAACCCCAGTAACATTCCTTTTCGTTTGTAATATTGAAACTAAACTCCGGAAAATTATCAATTATTTTCTAATTTTTGTAATCCAAGCAGACCATTTACGTTTAATGAAACATTGTTACATTTAAACAACGTTTAACCGAGACGCTTTTGTGGTGTATAAAAATAAATGGACATTATTAACGTTAAGCAGATATTTATTAAACCATTGAATTGTCTCGTATAAAACAGTATTTTAAACTAGTAAAAAATCGTTAAATAAATATTTTATAATGCTTATAACAGTTTAAAACGTATCTTTGAAGTGATTATGTTTTAGTTCAAACGTATAAAATTGATTTTCACAAAATGCGCTTGTTACATCTAAAATCAGATATACATTTCAATTAATTCTTTATGAATTACTTATTAAAGTGCCTTTGAGTTGAGCCAATAAAATTTTTTTAACATAGTTCCATGAAAATCAGGTTAAAGGAGTTAATGATGTACGTTGCTATTTCAATAGAGATTGAGATAGATATTCAACAGAGAAAAAAATTTCTTAGTATTACTTATTAAAAGTGAATTATTTATTAAAGTGTCTTCGAGTTGAGTCAACAAAAATTTTTTTAACATAATTTCCATAAAAATCAAATCTGAAAGGTTAATAATATACGTTGTTATTTCAATAGAGATTGAGATAGATATTCAATAGAGAAAAAAAAATTAATTTTTTAGTATGAATTACTTATTAAAGTGTCTTTGAGTTGAGTCAACAAAAATTTCTTTAACATAATTTCCTTAAAAATCAAATCTGAAGGGTTAATAATACGTTGTTATTTCAATAGAGATTGAGATAGATATTCAATAGAGAAAAAAAAATTAATTTTTTAGTACGAATTTGAGTTGAGTCAACAAACATTTTTTAAACATAATTTCCTTAAAAATCAAATCTGAAGGGATTAATGATATACGTTGGTATTATCACTAGAGATACTGTAAATGAGGTAGCACGCCCAACTCGCGAGTGTAGCAGCCGCACCTGAGCAGCGAGTAGGCTCCGGATTTACTCCCACCAGGCAGCGATTCATCGCGAGAGCGTCGGACAGGGCCGCGCGCGATTACACGTAACCCTGCCGAGGTGACGACACGCCGTGTCCGCGCCGTGCCGTGCCGTGCCGTGTCGTGCATCGTCGAAGAGCGTTGGAAATTTATAATTCGAACTCGATTCGCGCTGTTACAGCATCAAACCGTGAAGAAGCGTACGGAGAGATTACGTTTTTGATCGATCGATCGTGGGTGCCGATAATCAAGCGCTTTCGATAGTTTCGTGTTCAGATTCTCTTCGCGAAAGTTCAGTGAATCCGTCGTGCGTGCATCGCGTGATCTTTCTTCGCCGGCGAGGAAAAAAGTGGGGGAGAGAGGTATCCGAGTACCCCGAGACGAAATCTTCGCGCACGAGTACTCGTCGGTGGCATCGGTTGAATTTACGATCCTGGCCGGAGTATTACGGATTTCGCGGTCACGAGTCAACGGCCTTATCACGCGTCACGTCCCGAGCACCATCGGGCCACGTTCGAGCGCGTGAATTTTAATTTTGGACGGTTCACGCGATACGAAGGCACGTATACGCCATCATCCTGACAAAATTAAGGGGTGTTATCTCCCCCGGTGATATCCTCGAGCGACTTGAGACCTGAATGCGAGAGGAAGCGGCGGAGTAGATAAATCTCGGGAGCGACAAGAGACTTCCCGAGAAACGATCGCGAGAGACGATCCGCCGTCGAATTCCCACTGCGTGGGAATCGGTAGAGCGCATAATTTCTCTCGCGTACACGAAGTGAGGGTGAGGAAGCGAGAGAAACCGTGGCAAGAAACCTGATTCGAACTTGAAGAGACGTCGCAATTATTACGATATCATTATCATTAAATAAACGGCGCGAAGAGGGAAGTGATGGAAACTGGAGCGGCGGTTTACGGAATGTAATTCGAACTTGAGGACATCGTGATTACAATACGATATTATTGTCGTTGAATAACAAACGGCGGAAGGAAGAGAAGAGGGAAGCGGTGGAAGTTGGAGCGATTTCTCGTGAAAAAGAAAAAACGAGGCGTGAATCGTGACCGGCGCCACGCACGGCAGTGCGGTGTACGGGAAGAGAGGAAGAGAGAGAGAGAGAGAGAGAGAGTGAACACACGCGGGAAGGTGGGAGGCAGGAGAAAGAGGGCGCCAGCACGAATATCACGCGCGCGGTCGCGAGACTGAACTCGGATTGACTGGGCGCGAATGTTTCCTTCGTGCGTCGCCGACTTGCCGCGCGCAAGTTGTGCCTGTCAGTGAGCCCGCGGACGCGAAACTAACCTAATCTCGCGCCGCATCTCGCGCATTCGTGACGTTGCGTTGCGTTGCGTTGCGTTGCGTTGCGTGGTGTGTCCGTGTCGTGCTGCGTGTGCGTGCATGCATACTCTCAGCACGATTTTCTTCCGCGTTTATGCGTCATTGACGTCACTGCTCGCCGATTCAATTCGCGCCGATTTGGCCAAGCTCGATCGGAAGTTTCTCGATCTTCGCAGCTCGCGGAAGAGAAAGAGAGCAGCGGAGAATCCGCCCGCATCTCTTACGAGATATATACCGTCACGTGACAGGAGCGCGTGAGCCGACGTGACTCTCGCGGTCCCGGAGAGGATACTCGCGGGGCGACGATAACGGTCGGTAGTGGACGAGGAGCGAAGAGGAGAGAAGAGGAGAGGAAAGCGGACCAGGGCGGAAACGATCGTCGCGGAGATTCCGGAGAGGCGAGCGGTATCACCGCCGTTCTATGCGGCAAGATGATGGAGACGCAGAATTATTGGGAGGACACCTCCGCGCACTCGATGCAGGTGAAATACGAGAGGTGAGTGCCGTGCCCACGTGCGCGCCCGTTTCGCGCGAGATCGTATTTTAAAGGCCGAGCTCGAATCGAGTAAACTCGGAGAGAGATGAGACTTTGAGCGCCGTCCTTTTCTGCCTGCGAAAGACCTTGTTTACGAGAGATGTAGATTGTAGGAGGATATCGTTAAGAACGTATTATATGTATATGCGTTTGTACAGAAGTAATATAAAAAAATTCGGCGACCATTTAGAACTTGGACTAAAAATTATTTTTTATAAGAAACATTATTTCTTTTTATTCTACTTTTTATTCTAATGAAAATTTTTGGAAATGTGTTATAAAATGATTAAAAAATTTCATTTATTTTTCAATATTTTAGCTTTAGATGCACGGATTATAGTTGTTCTGTAAATGAACAAAACATTAATTTTTTTTTAATCTTTCTAACTAATTTCTGAATCGTAATTTGAAACTTTGCATAAATTATTTTGAGTACGCAAATTTTTCTCATTGTTTTTTCAATTTTAGCTTATGACAATAATAACAAATAAAGTAAATAAATAATAAAAATATCCAATAAAGATATAATGTTAGAAACATGATTTATATATATATATATATATATATATATATATATATGTACAATTCATTCGTATATAATTTATTTAAAGTATAGATACAAACACGTTTATAAAAATGGGTGTAATACATTCTTACGTTCACGCCAAATGTGAATGCTTTGCGTTACGTCATTAAATCAACAAGATCAAATGTAAACTCGCTACAAAAATCCAGCTTCCATATATTCAGTAAACATCAATTAAAAGTAACATAATATCGATGATACAATTTTATACTCAACGATATATGAATAAATGTAACTATACTAAAAAATAATTAAATATAACTGTAATATAACACATACAAAATGTTGATTTTTTTACTGCTTATGTTTTTTTGTACCACAGTTTTTACTAGAATTATTAGTATTTGCTGCTAATAATTCTTACGCTAATAATTCTAATTATTACGAATAATCGATTTAACCCTTCAGACTGTGAAACCCATTTAATTTATGTTAAATGAAAAGCATCAATTAATTTTCAGAACCAAAGTACGATAACTAGGTATAAAAAAACAATGAATACTAAGTTTACTTTAATAACAATTAACGACAATTCTAAATTACAGATGTAACATAAATATAATTGAATGGATCCAATTAGATTCATTGTTAACTTCAGAGGATCAATGATATACATTGCAAAATACAAAATAATAATTCATATTTATAGGAGAAGATGCAACTGCATGTTTCTTCCAAATTTTAGCCTGATAGGTTAAAAATTATGTTTTCCGGAGCAATGAGCCGTTTCTGTGCGACGAGGTGTGAGAGGCGATAGTCTCTGTCTACTTTGGAGAATAAATAACGTAAATACACGGCGATATATTGCGAATAAATAACGCGGTGACGGAATAAATATTAATAACGCGCGCTCGGCAACGTGTCCTGATACACTGCATTTGATTTAAAATCCGATCGCATTCTTGTTGTTTACAAGGATAAATGCAATATAAAAGTCCGGGGAAAAATATTTCCTCTCGCGGAGGAATAAACGGCAGAGTCACGGGTCGCGGGACGTATTTTGTAGCACACGATTGCTGTCGTCATCTCATCACATGTGCAGAAATCAACAGAATGAAGTACAAGTCATTACACCTTTCACGCGCGTGCAAGATGAAGGTAGCTCTATCGGCTCCGTGTCATCACTCGTTTCGTAATTCCCGTACTCATATAAACGAGCGTGATAGATGATTTTGTGAGACAGAGTCGCGAGAGACGAGAGTTCTCTCTTTAAAAAAAAAATAAATAAAAAAAACAAGAAAAAAAGAGCTGACACGTGGAAACGTAGTATAGTGCATAATGACGAATGAAGAAAAAAGAGATACGCGTGTCGTTTTTACACCAAGCTGGTGTGATATATAAACGGAAAAATTTTTCAGAATTTTTTCCTGTAAGTCACGAGTCCGCTAATTGTCCCAGTTTTTCGCTCGCCAGCGAGTTAAAAAATAAATTAATATATTATATTTAATCAGAGTTTTTTTTTTTGTCGAGATGACACTTTTCGAATTAAAAATCGAGACGTGTGTGTTACATTTATTTTTCTTTTTTCTTCACGCCGCACATGCATCTGTTCCTGATGCACTTAAGTGGATTATTATGTAAAAAAAAAATATTTGCATATATATTGTGTTTATAAGGTACTCATGCGCGTTCGTTGCATAACATTCGCGGACACTCAAATACCCAGCGCCTATTATTACATTTCCATTTTGCAGTCTAGACTCTCGTCTCTAAACAATTCATTCCTATATTTTTTGAAAAATCATACGGATAGCTTCCTGAAAATTTTATCGAGAGAGGCATCAACTGGTCACCTTTTTTTTTTATTTTCAACCCGTTGTATCTCGGTTACGCGATTTGTGCATTGCATGTGTAAAATTTAGATCAACACAATGTTTCGTTAACATTCAGTACACTGGCGAATCTCATGAATAATTTTACAATTTAAACACATGGAGAAATGTATTGTCTTTTTTAATCCTCCGAAGCTGATACCAAAGTCTGTAACGTAATTATTGACGCTGAGTCTATATGATACATTTATATTAATTAAAAAATATTAATTAATTTCAAGAAACCAAAATGACATAATTAACTTGTATAAAAAAGAGTGAATGTTAGATATATTTTAAGAAGAAAGATCCAAACTTGCAGATGTAACATAAAAGATTGAATTGTTTGACGTTTTTGACAAGATTTATAATTGAGTGGTTCAATAGACTTACGTCACAGTTTCAGAGGATTAACCGGAAAGCAGCCTCCGGAATTTATTGTCATCGTTATCTCGGTGCTGAAAACGCGGATTTCGTCTTGATCAGACGTAATAAACTGTGCATTCTCATTTAACATTCTGTGTTCCATTAAGTCCTGCGTTGATCCACGATGATAGAAATTGGGCCGAGATCTCAGACAGAGAAAGAATTGACCAATGGCACTGATTATGTGACCGAATTGTTCAAATGTGATTGTACAATTTCTAGCATAGCAGACACAAAATTTAGGAAAGAATTATATCAGTCTTTCTCTCTCTCTCTCTCTCTCTCTCTCTCTCTCTCTCTCTCTCTCGCAGAGAGATACTGATATAATTATTTCTTAAATTAAAAAATGAGGGGGCAATGTTGATTCGAATTACCTTATTTTTATAATAAAACTGCTAATGTAGGAATGCCCAGTTTATTTTTATTACGCATATGAAGAAAAACAGAGGTGGACTTCATTCATGTTTTCGAAAGCTTTAAAATCGAGATGTTATCGCGGAATCAGCAAATCACGTGGTTACGGAGAGCAGTGAGATAACGTCGTTATCGTGAATTACACAGGTCCTCTCGATCGCGCGATCGTTTCTTTCCTCCTTTCCCTGTTGATTTTTTTCTTGGTAATTAGACTTGTGTATAGATATGCTATATTTATATCCCCTTGAAAACGCACCATCGAAAGATTCCATGGCCGCGTCCAAGATAAGATAGAAACTAGAAGCTCGTTCTCTGTCGGCGGGCGTTAATTAAACGCACACATTCGTTACGAGTTCGTTCGATCGGTGTACGTGCACGAGAAGAAACCATTGATGTTGCGTGTCTACAGTATCGCGCAGGTTTCATTCGAGTTTGACAGTAGTATTATATATAATCGCTCTTTTTACGAGCCACGTTAAAAATGTCAGCAACAAATAAAAATCGTCCTCTGCATTAATGATCGTTATTTTCTGTATATTAGTATTTGTTTTATATTTTGTGTATATTGATATAATTTATGCAATTATATTTATGTAATACTATCGGGATCGTGGAAAGTTAGAACGTAATAAAAAATTAATTTAATTTTCACTTTTTTTTACTCGTTAGTTTTTATATTATAAATCAAATAAATAAATAAGGACCGAACACGAAATTGAATTTTGCGAGATACTGCTTGGTTTAACAATGTTTATGTGTAAATTTTAAATACCTCGTCCAGCTTGGATAAACTGCGCTTCGATTACGTCAGACTTGTCAGTATTATTATTAAATTGACGATCAATTTAATTAGTGTTATTATTATTTCAACTTCAGTTTATGATTGTGTTACAAGTTCAGCAATAATCTGCGCGCAGTTCGAGGTGCAGTTTGTATAGTTAGAAGATGTAATTAAAATTTACATGTAAATATTATCAAGCTTCGATCGTACGTGAGGCCCTTGCTTCATTTATTCATATTGCAGTCTAGTTTATCTTATCGTTTAGTTTCTATAAATATGCATAACTTGAATGTCGAGCGAGGTAAGCCGTGGCCGTTTCTTACAACAATTCTATAAAATGCGAAAAAGCGCATCTTATGCTATCGCTCGGTCGTTGACACTGCCGATCGATCTGCACGGATTTATTCGCGCGTCATCTACGTTCTCTACGTATGCGTGCACGGTATTTGTGGGCACACACAACACAGTTACACGTCTGACCACCTGCACTGATTAGTGCACACTTGGGACAATACGAGGTACTGCGAACATTGTATACAGGTGGCTCAGATCAGAGTGAGAAGAATGCGTTTTGTTGCGAAGACAATCAATAGCTTGCGAGCTGTAAGCTGTATAAATGAACGAATATCTTAAATAAAGAGTTTTAGACTTAAGACTTAAGAATAGTGTAAACAGATAAATTTTCTCTCATCTAAAAATAAATTTCAAACAAATATCGATTGCACGTTAATAAAAAAATGTTTGTGATTGTATAATTATGTCGTGATAAAGTAATTATAGAGTTCTATTTTTATAGTTATTATTATGCTACAATGTTAGTAATAATAATTTTATTTTTAGTTCTGCTAAGTAAATATACATTTAATTGGCACTAGAAATGATTATAAATTATAGTTCAATTATGTGGTATTGGTAAACATTTTTTTTTTCTGCGTATAATAGA